AGCTGACATTTTAGGCCAAAATGAATGATAATAAAAAGCTTAGTAATTGTTTAATCTTTGTTAATAAAGAAATAGGAATAAAGATACACGTTACATATACACAACATAATATATAAATGAGATAAACCCTATAAATTGGCTTGACAGTATAGATTAATAATTTATTCTTATTAAAGCCACTGTATTTAAGTGAGTGATTTTCAGTGACTTTTGTTTTATTAACATTAAAAGAATAGTTCTCCCAAAAAACAATTGTGGGGCAATTGTATCATCATGTAATATTCTGTTGCAAATTAAAAGTTATTTTGAAGAATGTGGGTAACCAAACAGTTGATGGTCCCCATTGACTTCCATATCATCCTATGGAAGTCTATGGGGTCATCAACTGTTTGGTTACACGCATTCTTCAAAATATCTTATTTTGTGTTCAGCACAAGAAAGAAATTAATAAAGGTTTGGAACAAAAAGAAATTTAGTTAATGATGACACATTTTAATTTTTGGGTGAACTATCCCTTTAAGAAAAAGGCGCATTGGGCCGTCGCTTAAAGACCTGCACGCTTCTAAAATACATAAACACATCCGATTAAATTAAGTTCACTTTTACTTTAGACATAACCAACTGTGTTCATGAAAACATTGTGTATATTCCACAGTATTAGACGCGAAATATAAAGTTTAGTAATCAGGCACTGTTAAGTGGTTGATGCACTCAGAAAATGACATGCGCCCATTTCAGAATAGCACGCAAATAATTAATTAATAATTAAATTAATAACAAATAATTAATAATTAATTAATAACAGATTGTGGAGAAAATAATCCCACACCCTTAATTTGAAGTAATCCAAAAGTTAAAATATATTAATTTTAGCACTGCTATATTTCTACATAATTATTGCAACATTAAAATATAAATCAGTAAAGTTTTTTTCTCAGTCTACATTATACTCACAATAAAAATAAATAAAACATAAAAATGTTCCTTGATTGAAAGCATGGACCTAACGATTAGGCATACTGATTTGCAAATGCTAGACTGCTCATTTCGATTAGCACAATCCAACACAATCTAAGAATTTGATTAAAATAACACATCCAATGTTCATCTGTAACGCTAGTTTGTTTAATCTGTTTCACTTATTAAACGGTCAATTGTGTATTTTAAGCAATTCAGACATTAAAATAAGACATAAAAAGCACGGACTCACCTTTCCATGTGCTTTCCTCATCCGAAATAATGGTATAACGTTTTCAAATCGGCTCCACCTACTGGTAGAACTGCGCATGACCACTCGAAAATGTTCAACATACTTATTATTTTAAGTAGAGGTTAATTTAATCTTTTGAGTTTAATAACTTACCATGCTAAAAAGTTGTCCTTACTTTATCAAACTTAGTAAGGTCAACAAACTTATTCAAAATAAGTCTTTTTCACTTAATGTTATTAGTAAGATCATCAGTTACATTTTACAGTGTAGAGTCACATTGAGACATTTGTCCTGAGGGGACGTGTGGGACAAATGACATCCGGATATTTCAGTGGAAGTGCAGTGGGATTACAACCCTAAGCGAGATACTGAACTACCCACCATTAGAAAGATTGACAAAGGGACAGAAAGTGATTGAAAAAAATGAGGCGACCTACAAACTGAGCCGTCTTTGGCAGTCAGCTTCAATTACCTCCATCCACTGGTTATGCACAACATGTGAAGTAAGACAAACAAGCTTCCTATTGCTTCTTTAACCCTTGTGTCTATCTATATCCATGTGGATCATGTTTACATAACTCATAAGAATCAAGGACATGACAAAAGAGTTACGCTGCCGAAGGGCGGCTTGTTTCAATCTTGACGTGACCACGCATGATTCCCTGATGGTGGAACCCCAAAATAATACCCAGTTTTAGACCGATCCACATTAGAACTGATTTCAGGACATTTCTTGAACCAAATTGTTTAAGGTGGTTCTGATAGGTTCGTGTTGGTTGAAACATCTGTTTCTTGATGACTTAATCTAGCTCATCTCATGCCAATCAGAAATTCGGAAACTACTTAAATTTTTTTTAAAAAAAGGAAACCACCCCATTGACTTTCATTGTATGGAGAATAAGTGTTTTGATTTTCTAAATGTGAAAGTTTTTGACTTTCACAAAAGAAAAGACACACTGCCCGCCGCCACCACCCATTTAAAAAAAGATATTCCTTTAAAATTATGTTTTAATAGATTTGATTATTCTTACTTTAAAAAGTACATCTTACTATGCAATTTGTTCATAATTCCCTCGAGTTACTTTATTTATTTCTACAAACTTTTATTTTGGTGGGCTGTAAATTAAAGACATTTGAGCTTCTGTGTGTTTTAATAAACTATTATTATTTGTATTATTATTAGGCCTACTTGAAGTATACTCTCCTGTACAATAGTAATATATTTCTGTTATATATTCTTCGAGTTATACAAAACTTTGTTGTTACGAATCCTCACACTTTTTAAAGTGGGTATACAGAGATCTTTGACATTTCCTAGTGGGCATACGGAAATCCTTGACATTTTCTAGTGGGTATACGGCGTATACCAGCGTATCACGTAGACTACACCACTGCCTTTAACAGAGGACATTTGTGAGCATGTTCCCCTTTACAGCATCAAATTTCATTTCACTGTTCATTATTCCTCGCAAAACAGACAGAAGCAGTTCATGAGCATGCAAATAAAGTCACAGATGATTAATGGCAGTGTTAGATCTGGACCTTGAGGCAGTCAAGTGAGGGCCACACTATCACACCGATTAGTTACACAAATGTACTAGCTTATTTTCATGTTCTGCATCAGTAAGCAATGAGTCTAGATGCATGACCAAAACTGGGTTTGAACATGCATTTACACACATTGTAATATCTCCTGCAACGCCGTTCTGTAACTAAGCTGGTAATGACTTAATTTTCAGCCTCATGAGGATGTGTACAAACTGCACACACCATTTCTGCTATAAATTAAAAAATAAGTCATCCTGAAATAAAATGTTTACATTAGATAAAATGCTCCCAGAGGGGCATAAGAGGAAATTGTTTTTTTATGCGATAAAACAACCATTTATAAAGTGCCCTTGAAAAAGCTGAAACAACTTTAAGCTTTTTGTTGATTTAAATTGTGAGGTTAACAAAATGAATCAAGTGGTTCACATAGTGCTGCTTACTGAAAATGCTTTCCAACTTGACATTTTCTCTACCACTTACTTTGTTTTTAGAGTGAACAGTGTTATCGTAAAGAAAGTGTCTGATTCTGTGTAGCTGCTCAAATCAGGGGTTGCATGCCACTTTACAGTTATGTAGACGGACAAAAATGTAACAGACCAAATTTAAAGCAAGAAAATTCCACCTTTGATTTCAATAAAGTCTTTAAATTATTAAAAAACATCTGAAATTATACCATACAATTTACAAAAGCTGATGTGCAGTTCCAAACACGTAACTATACAGACATGTGGAGTAATAACTACAGTCCAAAATAATAACAGAAAGCATGTGCTGCTGTATGAAGTATGTGCTCCTAACACCTGGCTGTGATAAAGGGTTACCATAAATCTTTCTTTAATGTAGGTGTTAACTTCCATAATTACACTGTTCAATAGAGTATTTTCCACCTGCACAAACCATCAAGGGGTTTAGAATAATGAATGAATGAAAGAATGAATGAATGAGTGAATGAACAAACCACATCTGGATTTTTTCTCCTTGACAGTTTGGCAACAGGGGTTTGTTTTGCAAAGCTATTCAGTGGCATGTAGGCCAACTGTTGATGGAGTGCTCTATATTTTGACTGACACTGATACTTTAGTTAAGCCCACAAGGCTCTGCAGGGGTGTACGACAATAACTTAAAGCCTTTTTCTCTATAAGGTTTACAGAATCCCACCTGTTTAGTGCTGCTGCGGGGAACCGCCATGCCCTAACTCAAGTCAAAGTGTGCAATGCCTTGGTAGACACTATTCTCTATATCTTGTTTCTTTTAAGAAAATGGATATGCTCTTTGAAAATATGTGGTGTCAGACAGCAGAAACCAAAAAAAAATCAATCTGAGGGAAAGTTGGAACAATCACTAGCATTCCTTGCTGAAGAATCTATTTCCTCTGAGACGCTGGGGCCATTTTGGAGATCTATTCTATAATTTCTGAATGTGTCAGAACAGCAAATAAGTTTTGCATTTGAACCATGCGATATTTAATTTGACACTTTAGCTGTGGTATTGAAATGTTTTGTTAATTCTTCGGAGTTGCAAAAATGAAAAAGATGTGATGACGCAAAGCATGTGTAATTCCGTTTCTTTTGTTACAGAGGAAAAGGAGAGGTGAATCTTATTCGGTGCAGATTGAATCCAGAACCTCAGATCCGAAGACACCAGACCTCTTTGTTCTTTTATATTGATTGCTCTAATCAGTACGGGGGGGTGGGGGAAGCTGCGTGCCCTCAGGTTCGAAGAGAAGATGGTGAGCAAAATGATTTCTATAGAACTTTGAAGTTGCTCAGCCACACAGTCAGCCTTCTATCCTCTTTTCTTCCTCCATTTTTTAGTCTTTCTGTCTCTCTCAGTTTTCCATTTTTATTTTACTGCTTCCAGACGCATGGAATGCTATAATTTAAACCATCCTCCCAAACAGACACAGAAGCATAAATAATTGCATAAAATAGGGAGTGGTTTTTTAGAAATACACCAGCAAATTACTCAGGAATATATTTTTCTTCCCCTGATCTGTTCGGAAGAACATAGATCTTGGTGTGGGTGAGGAGACGATTAAATACTCCCTGACCAGTGGGCACTGAATTGGCATGAGCCAACATGAATGAAACCCAGTCTTTGTGGCACTACATGGTAAGGATTCACATCCAGTTTCTGTCATAATCATTAGAGTAGTATGATTAATTGATCATTTCATGTAACCTCAGTAAATGGTGTGCAATAAAAAATAATTTGTTAAAATAGACACGTTAAGAAAACTTACACTATTGTCACTTGTCCCCGACACCGGATATACTGTCCAGCCAAGCTCTGCGGTCGCTGTGGTGGAATCCATCAACATTTCTGTGAAAGTAGGAGGAAACATAAAAAGGTTACACATCCAGGTCATCCTTAATGTTCAATGTCTGTGAGTTCATATACATATATATATATATATCACCCTCAGCTTCTAGCAATCTATCATTTATCTTTAATAAACAGAGTGAAGGAAATTGCTAATGTTGTCTTGGATAATTCCAAGAGGTCCCTAAATTACAAATAAACCCAGAAGAAAAAAGACTCTGACGTTAACACCAAATGTAGAGCTCGCTTTTTATCCTCAGTCTTTGCTTAATGAAATGCTGGGGATGAATAAAAACCTATGAATATTTCATATATTTCCATGCATTAACATCATTCTTTATCCAGACATTTATAGAGGCTTGTGATACCACTTAACCAACTGCTCCATAAAATACTATCAACACGTTTGACACGAATCAGCCTGAAATCTGTTTCGGTATTACAGCTGTCTCAAGTAGTAAAGATGAAAAATGCTGTAAAATCAGAAAGTGGCCAGGAAACAGTGGGTTCTGCTTCCCTGCTGTGTGAACAGCACACTTTCGGGCTCCACCACTGCAGAGGTTACATACAGGATGTAGGCAAGCAGTTGGACAACGACGAGATAACCACCAGAGATATTTTATTAACGACATGGCAGCATATTGATACTGAGAATGGCAAATTTTTTACAGACCTTACAATCTCTTTGCAGGCAAATGTGCATACATATCCAAAACATGCATATTGCATTGTTCTAGCCATAGCAAAAATTTGTGTTCGGATTGACTTCTCTTCTTACAGTAGGGTGTCACTAACAATTATTTTGGTTAAAACTTGAAATCATGATGAACAGTTTGCATATTTAGAAAGTTATTAATGTATTCTCCTGGGTTGGTGTAGGTTTACAAATGATTTACATTAAAATCTGATGAAATGGCACACATCACGTTCACAGATGAATGTTATAAGCATCTCAAACTCACAGCATATGCAGAGATGGAGTTTGAGATGCTCCACCACACATGTAAATGATAAAAGTTCATGTGGAGCAGCATTTACTGTGAACGGAGCTGCTCTCGCTTGCACGTAAACTACACAAATATTAAACCTGCAGGGCATTTATTTATTTAATTGAATCACAGTGTTTTTCAGTAAATTTCAATCGAGGATTTTATTACTCAAATTTAATCGAGGAATTAACATTTTTTTGAAACCACTTGAAAACACTATTTCCATGCCAAAAATGTTCATTGTTCATAATGCGTGATAATATGAAAGCTAATTTAAAATATATTGTAGTTGAGTTTTTCAAATATTGTGACTAAAATATGATTCTGCTGCCTCCGATTAAAAAGTTTGTAAACTGTGCTTACCGTTGATGCTAAATCCCACATTTCTAAATATAAATCTAATAATGGTGACAGCAAAAGAAAAAAAGAAAAGAAAAATCACTAAACAGGTGCCTCATCAATATTCAGCAATGGCTTTTAAATCAGTTATCACTCAAAAAGCTCCATAAATAGCCCCTCTGTGTACATTTGCATCAAAAATGAATGTGCATTCTTCTTCCCTAGATAAAACATTGATATTATACAGTTTGTAAAGGGACAAGCATTGTATGCATGGCTTCATAGTACAGAAACCGCAGATTTGAGTGCCACTGAAAGGGGACGAATTATAATCAGATGAAAGATGACCATTTGGTTGAGTAGAAATCAATCTAATAACAATTATTTCAATTACTCCAGCTGTTCAACATCAGCTCAGACCTTCAAGTAACAAGATTAGCCAGCCTTTCACCCACTCATTCTGTGCTGAGACTGCTAGGTTGGAGTCAGAGAGAAAAAAAAAATCTAGTAACTGGAGGCCAGTTACTCTACTTCTACTGATTAGTTGGTGTTAAAGAACATCTCAAGTAATTGGGGTCAAAGAGAACACATTTTGCCGTCTGGGGTCCTCAGAGGCGCAGGGATGATAGTTCTCAGTTCAGATTGGCCCTCAGTCATCCCATGTGAATATTCCATGTTATCGCATTGATGGCTTAATTAATTTCCTCTAGTAATTAGAGTAAGACTAAGTTGTTAGACTTTTGAAGGGAAATAGAGGAAGTTTGTGTTTTATCACAGTAAAATGCAGCTGTTTTGACTTCCTTTTACAAGCATCAGAGTACAAAACGTCTTTCAGAGCCTCAGCTTGAGGCCAACTAATTACCAGTCTTAGCTATTGGAAATACTTATTCATTTACAGAATTTTCATTAATCTTGCATTAGGCTATTTGATCATTTTAAATGTGCTTTCGAACGCTGGTTGCAATTAAGACGGGCCTTTAAAAGGACAACGATTTTGAAGGAAAACAGTAAGTGTACTGTTTGGGGCTGTGCAGAGGAACGCAGCCTTTCGGGCATGTCTCTATACTCCAGATTCCCTGAAATATATTCCAGGAAAAACCAAAAGCATTCAATGAAAAAAACTGCATGTGGGTCCAATTTATTTGAAAAAGGACATATTCCATTTCTAAGGCACACAAATTTAAGCAAAATTACATGATTATCACTAAGCCTAAAATGTATACCCAGACTCATGAAACTTACTCTGGATGTCCATTCATAGCAGTCTAAAATGAAGATCTGCTTTCAGTTGGTACACAGGGGTGAAATCAAAATGCAATTATAGGCCATAATAAACAATAGAATTGAAAAAGTGGCAAAGTGAATTTTCTAACCTCATGCCGAGTACTTGTGGGCATGTGGTCCTTTATAAAGCACCATGAGTGCATTGACTAGCGGTGAGGTAAACATTCTTTCCCTTTCATAAGCTCCTGTGCTTTATAAGCTATAGGCCTACTGCTTTTTGCAGTCTAGAAGAGTGATGCACTGCCTGTCCTGTACCGTACGATGGATAACCCCCCAAACAGAGGCCTCATGCGTACGCAGAGCCAAGCTAGAGATCACTGCTACGACTTGCTTCCAGCTCTTCATCCTCTGTGACGAGGTAAACCAGAGGGGTCTCTCAGCTCCACGGGGCTCTCTCATGGACTTTTTGAAGAGAGTAGTGGATGTGGCACCATGAGGATTGAATGTGTTTATGCTCACACCACGTCTGGAGGTGACAACACATTCCAACCAGGGCCTATGAATAAGCCCGAGTCATTGGAAGGTTCAGCGCAGACACCATTTTAAGACTCGGGAGGACACATGAGTTTAAGCTTTTGAACAGGACTGATTTTTATGAATTTTCCCAATGTGAATATGGGGGTTTCGAACCGCCTAGTAAAATACCTTCTCATAAAATAATGAAGTTCAAGACATCTTGCTTATGCTTTACACTAATATTACTTGCATTTTATCTGAGTTTAGAGAAGTTAAGCCCTATCATTTGAATCTTTCTGACGAATTCACTGAACTCACTGAACCTATCTAATATATTCAAACACAGTAAAGGCAGAGATGATACAGATATAGAAGATGCGAAGGGTTCAGATGCAAAAGCCTCTAAATGCCATTTGAAATTTTCTTCTTTAATGATGATTTTTATCAAACTTGTATATTTAAGTTCAGTAATTTCACTTAAATGACAATGATAATTACCTATTAATTGTTATTTAAGTGAAATTACTGAACTTAAATATACACGTTTGATAAAAATCATCATTAAAGAAGAAAATTTCAAATGGCATTTAGAGGCTTTTGCATCTGAACTCTTCATGTTGATGAAAACAGAGATTTTGCGGTTTTGCATATAGTAGTTTATAACCAAAGTGTTCATAACTTTAGAATAATTTTACTAATTAAATAAAAGCTTATTTTAGATTTTGATTATTATGTTTGTTAAATTAATAGGTGAAATCTACCCAAATTAATTGCAAACTAATCAATTTTGAAATCTGAATCTAAATCAGGCCACAAGTATTGATAACCCAGCCCTTGATTTCGCTGGGATTTAGGGTGCCATGCCATTTCATCTGAAGGTTAGAAAGGCCAGCTGTTCATTGCAAGGCTGTAAACAAAAGGAGCCTCTGAACACCAGTCCACGTTAATTGATAGGAAACAGGATCCTTTCAGACCAGGGATTACCGTTGGGGAAATTGATTGGTCAGCAGCTATGCTCCTGAGCCAGAAAGTGGCACCTGTTAAAATTGCTTCTTTTAAAAAGGCCACAGAAAGTTATTTGGGGAACGCTGTTGTGTAAAATGGCTACACGGATCATTAATAGGACGGTCTGTTTATTTGGGGAGGTGATTAGGGTTTGAGCTGTAGACCACAGAATGCCACACACACTCTCTTGTTGCACAGGCACAGGACTGTAGCCACTACACTCAGTCATAGATATACGGTAAGTGACCTTGCATCTAGGCCTGTTTCCAAATCTGCATCAAGAAATGTCAACTTGGAATGATAAATGGAAAGTCTTCGGATGATAATTCCATTTCCTAAGGAATCCCTAATATCTCCGATACCTATGTAAGTCTGCGGCTGATTTTATATACTCTCCGGAGGATGCTTCCGGAGAAACCGGCTTAGCTGACTCAAACTCAATTAAGTGGGTGGGCTAGCTATGACAGAAGACTATGGTATCATTATTCTAAAACGTGCAGAAGTGTATGTGGAGAGACTGACTGAAATGTTTTGGCAGCTAATGCCCAACAAAGCTCCCCTCGCCCTTGGGTAGAGCATGGCGGCGCTTCAGACGATTACTGGCTTCCAAATAGCATAGGCCAAAATTCACATCAGTGACTCACAACTAGCATGTAGAAGCACTGGTAGCACTTCAGGACAAGGCTCAATTTGTTTAGGGCTGTCATCACTAGAGGTGTCCCCAATAAGGATTTTCATAGTCAAATCAGATTCGTCAAGTCTTGTCTATAGTCGACGAATATAGTCGAAACGTGTGTGGGGGTGGTGGAGGTGCAGGGCTTTAACAATTTAAACTGCGAAGTACAGAACATCACACAAGGCTATCGAAAAAAATGTATAAAACCATTTTGGATCAATAAAACTAAGAAATAACATAAACAACTGCAA